CCAGACTAACAGGTTAAAAACCATAATTTTCCAACTTCTCAGGAGAGAGGTCTTGTATACTCACCTACTAAAAATTGGTATTTGAAAATGTTTTATGTATTTTAGAAAGTTAATAATAATTAATTCTACATCAAGTGATATAGATCTAACATGTCTAAAAAAGAACTGGTTTGTTTTGTACTAGAGGGTTGTGTCTAGGCACACATCCTTATGTTACAATGAAAACTCAGGAAATCGAAGAACAGTCCCTGTATCCTGAGCAGTTAGATTATAAATGGACTACAGGRCATGTATTTTAACATTCCAAGGAAAGTTGTTAGGAAATCCTTATCTACAAGTATTCCTTGTGAGCCAAGTCAGGAACAGAGTATGGATTCTGCCAACATTCAACTCCTTAAGTTCCACAATGACACACAACAGCTGGATTTGTTTTCAGAAGAGGACACCATCACCCAAGGCTGTTACAATAAACTCCCTTCTTTGGTTTAACAGAGATACCACTTAGATGCTCTACATTCTTATCTGTCAACTGTGATTTTCAACTAGCTGTGACCGAATGTTTACTCTAGGGAACTCCATGGAGAAACTATGCAAGAAGTTTATCAGATCCCGTTATGGCACCTGGAATCACACAAGRCAGAGATTAATATTCTACTTGCTTTCAGATTAGATGTGAAACAAAAAGGAAGTGGGCAAAAAAAAAAGAGAAGATTTCACTTTTTTTCACCCACACACAAYCAACCAGGTGAAACGAGTAATACTCAAACTTCCTCTAATCTGTCAATAGCACAAGCTKAAGCTAATATTTTAACACTTTGTCTAGACAGAAACCTACATTCTATGACAGTATACAAAATGATAGCTTTGTACTGTCTTGATTTCAGAAAAATGTTCATATTTACTCACATTTTGTTTGCCAGCCTCAGGGATGTACAGCTAAAACATGCCCGATCTCCCAGGTTACCTAGAAAAATAGCAATTATTAGCAACAATTCCAAAATTCAGGARGACATTTATCCATGTAGTGAACTGCACACAAATACCTTATTTAGAAGATTGATCTTTACATTGAAATAGCTACTACTGAAATAACACAAAAAGATGTTGCTTAACATGCAGAGCAGAACTCTGTGGATGTGTGAGGTTGGCTTGTTCTTGCTCAACTGCCTGAAGACAGGTTTCCAAGTCCCTCAGGCAAGCAACTATATTGCAGAAGAACTTCACTGGAAGCATATGTAGCTTTTTAACAGCTCTATGAGAACACAGTATCAGATGATCCAAATGGAGCTCTTGCCAAGTGTTTAGGATGAAAACAGCTTTTTGTTTTGTTTAAAGCAAAACAAATAAAACATGAGCAGGAACTTCAAGACACATCACTAGAGAGGTGGAACCACAACACCATTTCAATACATTGCAGTCCATTTTGATTAGCACCTGGTAGAAATAGCCCTACCCCATAATCTCACTGCAAAGGATATAAATTGTCTTGAAGGGAGGAGTGAGAGCCTGACCCCAAGCATAAGAAAAGTTAGCTTTCCAGAAAACACTGTGTCCCTCAAAATGAATTCATCTGAAACACTAAGTCAGATTCAATCCTAATAATAGCTAATAAGGTCCAAAAGAAGGCCTGACACCCATATACAGGTACCCTTTATCCAGTTACAGACACAAACAGCATCCATTCTAGAAATAATTTGAGAAGATCACCAAACCATAAGTCATCTAAGTCACATGCTTCAATAAACGGCCATGTCTGAAAGTCCTCCGAACATGGAAGAAGAATCAACAACATAAAATGCTACTTAGTAGCTGTACACAATCTACAATCCCGGAAAGTCATCCCCGAGCCAACTAGAAAGGAATTCGTCTTCCTAGAGCAACTTTAAAAAAATAAATCTTGTATCAGCACCTTGTTACAATAACTCAATAGGTAGCTACTAACAAGAGCAAAAAGACTTTGCGAGAGATCAAAAAAAGTCACACAAGCAAGATTCCAAATGCCTTGATTCTTTTTGGCCAATCTTTTCAACATTCACTGTAACCGAAATAAAACTGGAAGGCTGCATAGAGTAGGCATACTGTGGTTTGTTTCTCCCATCTGGAACTTAATATTTCTGGTGCATCCTAAGGGACAGCAGGACAAAAAGGTCATTTGAGAAGTCCATGGTACCCTTTCCCACCATCAAAGCCAATACACAGCCTGTGACAGGACCCAAAGTAGACACTTGTATCTGAGGAAACACAGCACCCAATGCTGATGACCAAAAGCCTTCCCCAACAAAACATCCTTATTATTAGGGCAAAAGAGATGCTGCCAAAATCAGGTGGGACAATCAGAAAGTACAGAATAGAACATAAGTTTACTTATCTGAGGAAAATCTTGACAATCAAGGGATGTCCCATGCTAAGCGGGCTCTGAGGTAATTACAGCAAAAGCTGTGGCATTATGAAGTCAAAGGATTTGCCCATCTTGAGTTGTATCAAACTCTAACAGGTACTCACTGCCACTCCTAGCACAGCCAGAGGAAACACTGTCTTGAAAAGCAAGCCCTGCGAATCTGTGAGGGCACTGCARTACTCTCCAATATTTACAGAAAGAACAGTAGCAGAACTACTTAACCCAAGAAGCCATCCCAGAAGGACATCCATGACCTCAAGGAGCAGCTGAGCAAAGCAGAGAAGTACTCAGCGTCTACAGGGATAAGTCACAGCCCAGTAATCTGCCTCACCTGAGTGCCAGGAAGCCCACAAAGCTTTATGTGCCTACAAGAGTCCTACTAGGAGAGGGCATTGCCTACCATGGATAGGTGCCCCTAGAACTAAGAGGGATGATCTRGAGCTCAAAACTGGCTTGGAGTTTCTTAGATAAAACTCCACAGCAGCAAGACACTTTCACTTCACTTTCTTTCCAACCAGGCTCATTAAATGTTAAGGAAGGGGTCAAAGAACAAAATTCCAAGGTTACCGTAAGAAAACATGCTGACTAAGCTTCTTGTTGTACAGCATGTTCAGAGTGTGAACATACACACAGAAATATTAATTCCAACTTTGCCAGTTCTGACAACAAGAGCTCTTTAGGTTTTGCAGTGTCTCTAATAACCATGTACCTAGGAGCAAACCAGCCCTGAAAAAAAAAGATATACTTCCTTCAGAGAGGGGCAAAGTCCATAACYCTTGCTTCTGGGACAATACAGGCATCCAAAAGTGTCTGAACAAGGTGAATGTTGCTTAATCATACTCAACACTGTTCTTTTAAGAAACCCRCATTAGCTCTGAGTGAAAGAATGGCCAGAGAAGCTGTATGTTCACATGTTYCTCATGGAAAAGGAGTAGTGGGAAACTTCATACTTATATTTACTGAAATATCAAACCCCAAGTTTTTAATGCAGAATAACTGTACTGTTACTATGTTTAGAATTTTTAAAAATAAAATGATATCATGAAGTAAGTCCCTAGAGAAGTGTAAGCTTGCAGTACTTAACAGTCTGATCTTCACAGGAATAACACTTAGGACTCTTAGAAGCACTTAGCTTTAACTTAATCTTGGACTACTTACACGTAAAGCAAAGAAGATGAGCTAAGTAAAGCAAAACACTACAGAAAGAAAAATATACCAYACAAAAATGCATTAATAATAGATTCATATTCCAAATAAATCCATTGGTTSTATCATAACCACAGTGCACCACAGCACACTAATTATTTGATTCTATCACAGCAYTTCAGCTTAGRCTGTGTAAGATTTGTAACACTCAAAATTGGAATGATCATTAGCACTACTTTTTATGCTATACCACAAGAATAATCAAAGCTTACATCTAACTTGAAGGCACGTGGGTGTGCTTTCTCCCTGTTTTAAATAAACTGGATGGTTAGGATACCCCAGTTTTTTTGTCAGGACGCTGTCCAAGCTCAACCTAAATAAATGTCTTTACAACAGTAGCCACCAAAAACCATCAGCTAGAAGAAGATACCACACTTCAGTGACTAGTGGTAACCAACAGGATGGCCTGTTGTTTGCAATGAACAAGCATCCCTATGCTCATCAGGTCTATCATCACATCTGCCTGGGTGTGAGCGTGCAGCTGCCCTGCTCTCAGTGACAACAATCCCATTCCAGCTCAGGGCTCTGTGTCAGTGACAGGCAATTCCTCGCTCATCCCCTGCAATTCCAGCTCAGGACGTAAAGAGCAGCCACAGGCCTCGCGAACGTCACAAGTTATCAGCTGTTTCATGCCACTAAGCTTCACCACCCACAGATATTTAAACTGCCAAATTATCTTCATTATTAATCAGTAYCACAAGTTGCGCGCCTTTTTTATTTTCCTAAGCTTTCAAAGCCATTTGGAAAAAGGTTTCCGCCCTAACACAGACTAAGAAAGCAATCTCTTATACTTTCTTAAATGGAAGAAGTACATAACTAGTGACAAGACTTCACACCCAAGCTACGCCGAGAGCAGGGCAGGCAGGACCGAGACGTAGTAACRCGTTCCTGCACTTTAACAAAAAGCACGTGTTTTTCCCCTCCCCAGTCAGCCGGCATTTAGGAGACACGCGTATCCCACTGCGCTCCTGTTAAATCATGCCCTCCCACCGCGCTGCCGCGGAAGCACATGCGGAGAGGCCGCAGCAGCCGCGGAGCGTGGGCCGGGCCGGGAGCCGCGCCAGCCCCGGCGGACAGAGCGGCGGAGACTCGGCCGCAGCCCTGCCCTCCCCTCCCGCAGCGGCCTCTCCGCCCACGCCGGGAGCCCCCAGCCGCCTCGGCCCGCTCTCCCTCCCCGTGCCCTCCCGGCCAGGCCCGGCGGGCCGGAGCCGGCGGGCGGTCCCTCACCGGGCTGTGGCGGGCGGCGCAGCGCTCGGGGCAGGCGGCAGGCGCGCCGCCCGCAGCTCTGCAGCAGCATTGATGCCATGGCGGCGCTCCGAGGGCCGGCGGGCGGCTCCGGCCCCGGCCCCGCTCCTGTCCCGCCGCCCGGGCCGCGATCCCCACACGCCCAGCAGCGCCCAGGAGCGGCGTTCGCCCAGCACCGCCCCGCGGCGCCGGGCACGCTGGGAGCCGTAGTCCGGGAGTGCACGGTGAGGGCGGCGGCGCCGGGCGGGAGGGATGGCGTCACTGAGGGGCGGGTTGCTCTTYCCCGCAGCTGCCCGAGGGGAGCGGAGGGACCTGCGATGGGCACCGGGGACCGCCTCGGTCTCGGGGCTTTTCCACCCGAGCGTGGCTTGCCCCACAGCCCGCGGTCCCCGCCGCGCCGGGAAGGCCACAGGCCGTGCCCGCTGTGAAGGGCGGGCGCCGGTGCCTCACGGAGTCGCCCAGACCGCTGTGGCCCCACGTAACCCCAGCGCAAAGTACAGCGCTCCGGCACCGCACRGTGCTTTCCTCTTTGGCAGAGGTTGCACTGGGTGATGCCCAGAGATCCCTTGCAGCCCGGAGGACACGGGATCCTGTTGTGGGTGCGGCCGGGTTCCCATGCGCCTCCCGCCGAAGGTTGGCCGCAGCAGTTCTGCTGAACACACGTGTGTTGCTTGTGGATCTCGGGATTTGACAGAAAAAAAAAGGTTCTCTGGTGGAGCTGTGATGGTTTTGATACGAAAGAGCACATAAATTAGTTAATGGATAGATGTGCCACACCGGTGCTGGTTAATAGTTGGACTACAAGTAGAATATTATTCCTCAGATATTAGTTGAGTCCTAACCAGCAGTAGGATCTCATGTYAAATATTTCAGTACTCGGTTAACGCAGTATTACATAGTAATATCTTTATTTTTAACTATATTGGCAGATGCAGCAAATAACCAGAATCAAACTGCAGAAATTATAATTGAATCCGAGAASACTGACATTTTACAGACTGTTGAGGTTTGGGTGTTAATGCCTTCCTTGTTACAGAAAAAAAATGGGTGGAAAGCTGCTGGGACTGTCTGTGGACAAGATGGCTGCCAGCCCTGCCAACAAGATGGCTGCCCTAAGGCCAGGGTTCCTGAGGGACAAGGGTGCCATGGGATCAGACCTCTCCTGYCTCACAGGTAACTTACAACACCGGGCCCTTGGTCACCTCTACACCCACCTAAACCCTAAAGAAAATAGGTGCAATTTAACCTTATGTGAAAAGGGTAGCAGAAGCTTTCAGCTTTGACCCAAAACGTGACTGAAAACAGCGTCTCTTAGCAATAAAGAGCAAATGAGTCTGCAGTTTATCTGTTTGTGCCTAAGACTAGGCTAATTGCAGGAAATTAATTGGTAATGTTATWGAGTCCTTTTATGTATTTAAAGAAAATCCTCAGGGTTTCGCCAAAGTACAGAAAAATATGGATGAAATTTGCATTCCTTGTATTTTAAATTCAAGAGTATTTGTGAAGATGGAATATGCAATTGAGTATTAAAAAAGACACACTTTTCTCATTGGCTACAGAAATGCTAGTGTTGCTTAAATTTAATGATAATTAGCAAATTAACATGTATTTATGTACTTACTAATAGAGCTACTTTTAAAATGTTAGGCTCCCAAATGCACTGTAAGATTTTTAGCTAGCTGYGTTTGCTTTACAAGTATTTGAATGTGTAGTGCATTTAAATGGTTAAAATTATTTAAAATGTGCAACTTGACAATAGTGCTTTATGTTACTGGCAGTCTTGAAAAAAAAAACCCAAACAAATAACATCTTCCCAATCTACACATCTCTCACTAGACTGGGTTTGTATCTTTCTCTTGTTATTCTTTTTTTTCTTTCTGGTTGGCTGATAACAAAACTAAATGAAATGGGGCAACTAATGGCAGTTCCTCTAACAAAGCTGCTTAATTATGTAGAAACATTATATGAAGCCTATACAAGAAGAATAATATGCTCTGAAGTCATTAAACTATTGACAAGAGATTTCAGACAGCAAACAGATGATTACAGAGGTCTCAATACATTTATGCAGACAAGTAACCAGCCTTTCAATAGTTTCATTAAATTCATTAGTATTCAGGGTGGCAGACAATGTAGATGCATGGGCCTTTTCAGAGCTGAATTCGTTATGTTTTTGTACAGTCTTTTGTTCCAGATTTGTTTACACCTGGAAGTTAGAGGGTTTGCTACTGTATGTGAAAAGGATTGATAATACAGTCTGTGAAAATTTCCTAAATATATACAATTTCGAAATACTAATTGATTATGTGCATTTACCCAGCATTGCAAAGTAATGCTTAAGAAAAGACTGAGCATTATAAATTTTTAAGTAGTTGTACAAATTGCTCCCGCATGAAAAGACCAAGTGACTTGAGGTGACGCACGGGCCTTCCACAGGAATCAGTTTTTGTTTTAAAGAAAAACATCTTCTACTCCAGCCAGAGCAACAGCCCATGATCTCACAGAGAAAAACATTTATCCCCCGAGAAAATTACCATACCACATAGCTACTAGGGTTTTGGGGCTTTGTTAAAAAAAAAAAAAAAAAAAAAATCAACTGCTACGGCCATTTTTAGCCCTGGTTTTTAAAACCACCACGTTGCTTGGAAAAGTTGTCAGCCATCTTGCTGAAAAAATCTGTTTTCCAGCAGGAATAGGATGAGAGACTAAAAGGAAGAAATACAATGCCTTCTTTCTAGATGGATTCAATAAGGATCTGAGAATAATTAAAATAAAGGTAATATCGGAACAAAATTAAGATTACTATTTCATGTTAAAGATCAATTTTTTTYCCCCGCTGGATGTTAAATAGAAGCAAAAGCAAGGTCAGAGTTGTTTAATCCAATTCAAAACAACCTCCAAATAAAAGGAGATTCTGATGGTTGTTATAGGCTGTGTGAATATTGAAATATRTGTTTTACTGCTGTATGAGCAGAGCCCAGTGATACCACAAAGGCAGGGCTGTTTAATTGTCTGCAAGAGGTATGATGCATCAGACCTATAAAAGCACAGAACGTGCCTAGGGCTGTGYATTACTTGCATAGACATGACAAAGCAGCAGATGGATCTGTAATTCTCATTGAGGAAGTTTAGAAATCTATATAGAAATTGGGGGGCAAATGTTAATATGAACAGGGAGCAGAACTGCAAATTTGTCATCGCTTCCTTGAGGACATGTCCCAGGAAACACTTCTTAGACCCTGTTGATGTTTTCAAAGCTTGATAACAGCTCCCCCCACTCYAACTTGAGGTGCCCTGTAGTGTGTGACAGCACCAAATCTGTGACACGCCTGCCAAAGACAAAGCCTTGGTTCCCCAGTACACCCTGATGACAAACCAAGGTGGCAGCAAAAGCAGGAAGAGCTGGGGAGATGGGATTCAGGGGCTGGAGAGGGAGGAGGTGCAGTGCTTGATTCTCTGGGCTGTAAATGGGAAGAGGTGGGAGCATAATTAGCATTTGATGAGTYGGGAGGCAGCTTTGCCATTTCACTGCTGCAACATGGTGTTTGTGTACACAGCACTACYCTATAAGCTACGTATCAGTACAGGTCCATAGACAGTCCTTAAAAGTAGAATTATGCTTTTAGGCTGTAGAATCTGTTTCCATGGCAATCCCCAGGTTGTTTCATTGAATARGTTTAACAATATGGGATTAACCTCATTTTTATTCACCAGTGTTCAGCGTAAATGTAAAGAAAGAAGGGGGGTGGGTGGGGAAGACATTACCGTGTAGCAAGCTGCATTAAGTTTCTACTAACAGATTATTATCAGTTTGTTTTTTTTGTTTTTTTTTTAAAATACTCCCATTCATTTTCAGGGACTTTTTGGAGAGATTCTTGGGATACTAAAGCCTGTTGCTCTGTCAGTGTTACACCCAAAGGTAAAAGTTCAAGTGCAGGCTGGATTACAGATTTGCTGTATGTAGGTCTGGGTCACAAGTTCACGCCCGTCTGTAAATGTGCTAAAACCAAGCAGCACTGGCTGCATATTAGCAMAGAAATGGGCTGCCCTGGATGCCTCTTCAAATACTGCCCTGAAAAGCCACACAGAAAGTGCCTTGATGGTAATAATGTGCTGCAAACAGTCATTTCCAATCCAAGGATAGTTAATTACCTGCTCAAATTCCAGTCAAAAAGTGGTATTTTAAAAGATTGCTTTGGGTTGACCCAAATTAGCAGCACAAAATGACATACAAATAACATACTAGGTTGTCATTAGTTAAATGTGGCATGCAGGCAGGCAAGAGCACAGCTGGGGGAGYAGAAACAGGTAATTTTATAAATCTTTTCCAAATTGAGAGAAAAGCATTTGCAGTTCAGAGTGAAAACCACCGAGGTTCTCCTTTTTCCCAGCAGATGGAGCTTATGTGAAACAAACAGGCGGAGAAGCTGCGGAACCACCGCGCAAAGCAAGGTTGGGGCAATGGAGGAGCAYATGGTGGGGAAACCCACAAGGTTCTGGCCAAGGTAGAGAGAGGCCAGGAAGTGTTCAGGTTGTGTGCTCAACAAAAAAAAAGGGAGAATGTAGCTACAGAAAGCAAATCGATTTAGACTTTGAGAAATAGGAGGGGAAAAAGGGAATCTCTACTGTTACAAACACACCTGTTAGTTCCAGCTGATATGGGAAAGACTCAGATTTTGCAGCAAAGTCATTAATCCTGTATTTAAGTAACCTGTTGTGCCTCCAAAKGAATCAGTTTGATTTTATGAATGACATGCCTTAAAACTATGCATTTAGAGTTATTCTTTGCCTCCAGGATTTTTTAGTTTGTAGGGTTTGCAAGTTCCTGTCTGCAATTAGAAAAACTGAAAGCAAACAATCTTATGTCATCATCTGACTCTCAGAGTTAGGTCTTTAAGAAAACTCCAAATGTTGTGCTACTGTCAATAAAAGCCCTAAATCTGCCACCTCTGCTTTTGTGCACCTGTCAAGAAGCAAGACAAGAAGTGCATGCCATCAGGGATGCTCTCCCCCACCCTMTCCTGGATTTTGTAGACCCTTTCCTGCACTTCTCGTATATCACAAAATTCCTGATGTCAGGCAGTACTGGAAAAACAGGAGATCCCTGCAAAACAGAGATCCCTGCAGAACAAAGCTACCTTTCAGTTTGTGTCCATTAAAGAAACAGCAGATGGTCAGCACACCGTTTTAGGAGAACTTTTACCTTTGTGTTCTAAAATGGAGAAAAATGTACTGCTTCCAAGGGCCATTTTAATGGCCGCAACACAACTTTGTTTTGCAATTTGGCAAGGCTGAGGCTGCTTATGATAGACACGGGTTTGGAGAGGAGCAGGTTACAGCCAGCACATGCACACAGCTGTATACAACTTGATGCAGACAAAATGCAAAATAGTCCTGTTGTCCCTCAGACATATTCGGGCTTTCTCTGCCTCAGAGGAGGTGAACAGAGCTAAGCCTTTCTGTAAAAGCCTTTCTCATTTCTCTAAAATTAGAAAGATATTGAAGATGGATACGTTCATTTGCTGAAGGCTGGTGCTCAAACTTCCTATGCAGAATTTAGCCCTCTTGGGTCTCTGTTGTTACCTCATTCTTGCTGGTTTTGCTGATGATCTTATCAGTCCTGGCTTGTATTTTTCCCTTACAATCAGCCTGAATAACCCTRCTGGAACATATTTTTCCAACCTTTGAATCACTCTCTCTTGTTTACCTTTCAGCTTTAAATTTTCTACCTTTCATAATYCTGACCAAGTCTGTAACACAGATCTCACACTTTTTCATCCTGTTCTCCTTGACTTGACTAACACTCCCATCTTCCACACTGCCATACAATGACCTCCCCATTCCAGCATGCAAGCCCACAGCCCCTCCTTTATTCAAGTCAAAGAGCTGCTTTTCTCAAGAGGCCTCCCCACAGAGATAATGAAAAGCAGATTAAGAGATTTAAAAAAGGAGTTGGTTCCTTTGGAATGGTCAGTGCGCTTTCCCTTTCTACAACCATTCTCTATACTGTAAATTTTCCAAATCAGTGTTTGTCTGGATGTCTGTGCCTTGACCTCAGTAGGACCCAAGCTGTTGGGCCCCAATCCCATATATGCATATGCATACAATGTCCCTTTGCTATCAGAGACATTCACACAGTGGTAAAAGAACAGTGCAGTTACGTGTTTGTAAAA